TGTGTGTGTGTGTGTGTGTGTGTGTGTGTATTTTCTAGCTTCAGGTGGTGCTTAACATATATAATTTGTCTCTACTTTAATATAAAGTAAACTATCAAGAGAGTTTACAACAACATACAGCAGTTATAGTTTTTATGATCTTCAATGATCCTAACAAAAGATGTGCAACAAAACTTTTTTCAATCCGTCTATTTAACCCCCGTCTACCTTCTTTTTCAATATTCAGTATTTGCAATTGAGTAATGAAATCAACTAAAAACTTTTATTATCCATGCGGAACAATGATCCCTCTCATAATGCTATAATTTCAGTGTTTATGAAGAAAATTATAGCATCTGTGCAGTGGGTTTTAAAATCCTCTTGCACCAGCAGAGCAAAGCCTTACCTTGTAGTATAGGTCTGCTTTGCTCAACTGTTTTCATACAAGTAAGATTGCCACCCACTTTATGGCCTGGCTGACACTGCTGTGGATCTGTCTGTGTGTGTTTGTTTATCCCTGCTCTGTTGGATGGATAGATGTGTTGATGACAGTATTCCTCTAAAGAAAGGGTGAGAGAGACAAGGAGACAGAAAGAGAGAGGACGCTCGTTGGCCGACTGCCCTCCCTTCGGGGCTGGTGGAAGGATGAAGGGGGCATCCAGGAGACAGTCTGTCTGGTCTCGTCAGGGTTTGGCCAGCACATGGCTACCTGTCACTCCTGGCCCGTCTAACACGCAAACACACACTTCTCACTCTGTCTCACATCACCCTTCCTTTCAGATCGCTCTCTGTCTCCCGCCATTGACCTAATGCAGGCGGAAACTGAGAGATTTACTCATAGACACTTCGTTATTTATCATTAACAAGGACAGTGGCCAACCCCCAGAGAAAACAGAGCAAAGACACAAAGCGTACATCCGTTGGTATTTGGCAGCCAGTTAAAGAAGATGGACATTTTTGGTAGTTAAATTTCAGGATGCACAGCAAAAGTTTTTTTTTTTTTAGCAGTGCTCATTTGTATTGTCTTAAAAAACATGTTGGAATGATGGATGATAACCAAATCATTGAATCACAGAATATTCATAAATACTTAAAACAGACAGTTGATAGTGTTGAGAAAGTCATTCGTCGTCACACAAAATGATCAAACATCGAACCCTGAAAAACCGATTTAGCAAAGCAGTGTTTTTATTTACCACTTTAATGTCACTCGTGGCTTTTCCCGAGAGTCCAGACCAGACAGAGGTGTTGTTCCTCATTCCTTGGACAGCATGTTAAACTTCAGTGCTTTGATGAAGATTGTTTTAGAAATAACATCACAGTCACTGCGGCGGCCCCAGGCAGAAACATGCCAACAGAAGAGACATTTTACTTTCATCATAAGTCAAGAAGCTCGCTGCATTAATTCTTGCGTCTGCCACGCCATTAGCTGTGTTTTTTATTTTCATGTGCGAGTTGCACACGGGCACAGCGCATCCGAGGGTGCTGCTGAGTGGTAATGGTTGTGGCACCGTGTGTGCGTGTGTGTATGTGATTTGGGTTCAGTGGGGGTAGGCCTTGCGGTCTCAGCGCTGATGGTGGCGTAGTGGTGGCATTTGTCAGCTCGCTTCTTCCGCTTGGGCTCCAGATTGACGTCTTGTTTCTTGGCCCTGTTCTGTGGCGGGCTAAAGGTTCCCCACTGAAAAGGTCAGACACTTACTACTGTTTGCTTAACAGCATGTAACAGTTCCTCTGAGGGGGACCCGCACATAACAGGCCTGGCCACAGGATACACAGCTAGGCTCATCACTTTTACACGTGGGTGGAGAGTTTTGTTTTTGTGGGTGTGTGAGGTTTGGGAGCACATGTTTTTAAATAAATATATATCAAAACCCTTCATATGTGCAGATTAGAGCCTGAGTGATAGGAATTTTTTAGAGCTGATGCTGATAACAACATCGGAGAAAGACATTTCTGATGTACATTGGCCCATGAACATATAAAAATGGCAATCCTAAGATGTCCTTTTCAAACTCTTACGACAACCAAATGTAATTGAGGCTTTATTATAAATATCTATAAACACAACCAAATAGAACTTGAATCAAGAAAATAAAAGTTTCTTTTTATGTAAATATGTTGTTAAATTCACCGAACATTTGAACAAGAAAATAATATTTTTCAAATGTTGAAGCTAAATGATCAAACTACAAATACAATTGTAGATATAAAGAATAAATAAATCTGAGAATTCATTTGTTGCACCCACAATTGCAGAGTAATCTGCTTTATGGATAGTTTTTTTTTGGACAGTTTTATAATGTTCATACTTGACATGTGTCTATACTCACTGCTTTTATAATTTTCTATATTGCATTAACCAGTGGAATTGTGTGTCTGTGTCTGTCTGTCTGTCTGTGTGTGTGTGTGT